TGGTCTTAACTTACCCATAAAAAGATATAGGCTAACAGAATGGATAAGAAGACAGAATCCATCCTTCTGCTGTTTACAAGAAACACACCTCAACTTCAAAGACAGGCGATACCTCAGAGTAAAAGGAATGGGAAAAGATTTTCCAATCAAATGGCCTCAAGAAACAAGCCGGTGTAGCAATCCTAATATCTAACAAATTGGAGTTTAAACTAAAATCAATCAAAAGAGATGAAGAAGGGCATTTCATACTCATCACAGGAAAAGTCCATAAAGATGAAATCTCAATCCTGAACATCTATGCTCCATGTATGAAGGCACCCACATTTGTGCAAGAAACATTACTAAAGCTCAAATCACACAGAAAACCACACACACTTATAGTAGGAAACTTCAACATCCCCCTTATGCCACCAGACAGAAACTTAAGAAAGAAACAAAGGATCTGAAAGAAGTTATGACCCCAACTGGGGTTAACAGATATCTACAGAGCATTCCATCCAAACTCAAAAGAATATATAAACAAACTGAAAAAGAAAAACCACATGATCATCTCATTAGATGCTGAAAAAGCCTTTGACAAAATACAACATCCCTTCATGATAAAGTTCTGGGAGAGAACAGGAATAACAGGAACATATCTGAACAGACAGCCAATATCAAAGTAAATGGAGAGAAACTCGAAGCGTTTCCTCTAAAATCAGGAACAAGACAAGGCTGTCCACTCTCTCCATAACTCTTCAATATTGTACTTGAAGTTCTACAAAGGGATACAAATTGGAAAGGACGAAGTCAAACTTTCACTATTTGCAGATGACATGATAGTCTACATAAGTGACCCGAAAAACTCTACCAGGAAACTCCTACAGCTGATAAACACCTTCAGCAAGGTAGCAGGATACAAATTAACTCAAAAAAATCTGTAGCCCTACTGTATACAGATGATAAACTCAATGAGAAAGAAATCATGGAAACATCACCTTTCACAATTTCCACAAGCAACATAAAATATCTGGGGTAACACTAACCAAAAAAGTGAAAGACCTGTACAATAAGAACTTTGAGACTTTAAAGAAAGAAATTAAAGAAGATACCAGAAAATGGAAACATCTCCCATGCTCATGGATAGGCAGAATTAACATGGTAAAAATGGCAATCCTACCAAAAGCAATCTACAGATTCAACTCAATCCCCATCAAAATCCCAACACAGGTTTTCACAGACATTGAAAAAACAATACTCAACTGTATATGGAAAAAAAAACACAGGATAGCCAAAACAACTCTTTACAATAAAAGATCTTCTGGAGGTATCACCATCTCTGACTTCAAGCTCTACTACAGAGCCATAATTCTGAAAACAGATAGGTATTGGCACAAGAATAGACAGATAGACCAATGGAATCAAACTAGAGACCCAGATATTAACCCACGCACCTACGAACACCTTATTTTTGACAAAGGTGCTAAATCCATACAATGGAAAAAAGAGAGCATCTTCAACAAATGGTGCTGGCACAAATGGATTCGGACATGCAGATAATTGCAGATTGATCCATACCTGTCACCATGCACGAAACTTAAGTGCAAATGGATCAAAGATCTCTCCATAAATCCAGCCACACTGAATCTTCTAGAAGAGAAAGTGGGAATAACCCTTGAACAAATTGGCACAGGAGAACGATTCCTGAACATCACGCCAGAAGCACAGACACTGAGGTCTGCAATTAATAAATGGGACCTCTTGAAACTGAGAAGCTTCTGTAAGGCAAAGGACACAGTCAGTAAGACAAAACAACCACCCACATAATGGGAAAAGATCTTCACTAGCCCCACATCTGAGAGAGGACTGATTTCCAAAATATACAAGGAGATCAAGAAGCTGGCCACCAAAACACCATACAATGATATTAAAAAGTGAAGTGCTGAATTAAACAGAGATGTTTCAACAGAGGAATCTGAAATGGCTGAAAGACACTTAAGAAAGTGCTCAAAATTCTTGGCCATCAGAGAAATGCAACTCAAAACAACTCTGAGATACCACCTCACACCTGCCAGAATGGCTAAAATCAAAAATATCAATGACAACCTATGCTGGAAAGGATGCGGAGAAGAAGGAACACTCCTTCATAGCTGGTGGGAGTGTGAACTTGTAAGACCATTCTGGAAATCAGTATGGCGGTTACTCAGAAAAATGGGAATCAATATACCTCAAGATCCAGCCATTCCTCTCTTGGGTATATACCCAAATAGTTCATGTTCATACAACAAGGACATCTGTTCAACCATGTTCATATCATCATTGTTTGTAATAGCCAGAACCTGGAGGCAACCTAGATGCCCCTCAACTGAAGAATGGAAAGAAAAAATGTGGTACATTTATACAATGGAGTACTACTCAGCAGAAAAAAGCAATGGAATCTTGAAATTCGCAGGCAAATGGATGGAACTAGAAGAAACCATCCTGAGTGAGGTAACCCAATCACAAAAAGACAAACATTGTATATACTCACTCTTATATGATTTTTAGACATAGATCAAAGGTTTACCAGCCTATAATCCTCTTCCCTAAAGAAACTAGAGATCATGAATGACTCTAAGGGATAATGAACTCCAGAGCTAATTGAGAGCATGAGTGTAGGGGAGTGGGTGCTGCCACAATAAGAGCACAAGATGAAGAGTAGAGGAGAAGAAATGGAGGAGCAGGTATATTGAGTTGGGGGAAGAATAGAGGAGAGAGAGCAGGATGAGAGATACCATATCAGAGGGAGTCACTATAGGTCCGAGAAGAGATCTGGAACTAGGAGACCTACAAGGATGACACAATCTGACAGTCCTGGCAGTGGAGGAGAGCATGGCATAGAAGCCCTTCCCCTAGAATGAGATTGATGACTACTCTCTATGCTATCCTAGAGTCCTCATTCAGTGGCTGATGGAAGCAGAGACAGAAATACACTGAGCTGAATTCTGGAACCTAGTTGAAGAGAGGGAGGAATGAAGAATGAAGGGTTCTGTACCAGGTTGGAGAAACCCACAGGAACAGTTGACCTGAACAAGGGAGAGCACATCATCCCCAGACCAGACGCTCTTTTGGAGGCCTTTATGGGACTGACCCAGGCCCCTGATCATGGATGCCAATGGGGAGGCCCCTGCACTCCTGGGAGCATCTGGAAGTGGACTGGCGTTTTGCCCTGGTGTGTGTGGGGGGACTTTGAGAGCCCATGCTACTTGAAGGGATGCGCTCTGTCTCTGGACACATGGGAAGGGGACTAAGCCCAGCACAGGAAGATTTGGTGGACTTGGTGGAGCCCCTGTTGGGGCCCTACATGAAGTAAAGAGAAATTTACCCACAGAAAGCATCCCTGTTTCCTTATGTTCCCCCTCAGACAGATAAGTCTAGTATACCTCAAGTAAGTATCTATTCTGGATCCTCCCACCTTCATGGATTTTCTTATTTACCCTGGTTCTGACAGGGGGTTGGACCCTAGAAGTAAGCAACGTTTTGCATTATTCTTTACATGACAACAGGAAAGTGTGTTGTGTGTTTGACCTCAGTGAAGTATCTACTAATAATATAAGTTCCCAGTGTCTCCTTTCTTTATGAGGTAGACTTACCTGCCAAGGTAGAAGCCTGTCCTGGTTTATGTCTTTGTGAAAATCTATTTCTGTTTGACTCAAAAGCATTTCATGGAGGGCATGGGCCACTGCATACACTGCATTCCATATGGAAACGCTGGGCTCAGAAGTGATCATCACAACCTGTATTTCCTGTTTATTCTTTAGCGATATATTCAGTGGGCAGAGTTCTTGAACTCCACATAGCAAAGGAGAAGGTGAACAGTGAAAATTGTCCAGCCAGAATTTATGGAAGTAAATATCACTTGGGTACTGTGAGGGTGTAAGTGCCTGGATAAAGTGCTTGAAGCCAGGGATATTTCTGTTCTTTGAAAATGAGAAGCTACCTTCAAAAAAGGACATCAAACCAATCCACTTATAAAATACAGATTGTAAGTAAACAATGCGGGGCTTTGCCATGATCCACATCTTCTTTCTCTTTGATATAATTTCATTTTGTATATAGAAAATCAGGACATCATCTATATCCCCGTAGAACACATGCACATTTACTTTTGTATGTTGGCTCAAATTCACCAACCCAACCCCAAAGTAAAAATCCACTTTCATATAAGTTGGTATTCTTTCTGTAAAAGCCACACAGATATCTTCTGAAGCAAGCTCTGCTGTCAGGTCAGAGAGGAACTCCTTTCCGTTTAGGTCATCAGCCACAATGAGCCCCACCCACTTCCAGCCAAAGTGCAGCAATAAAAAGATCACTCCTTGGGTCAGAGCTTTTTCTTGAGGAGAAATCTGGTACAAGGATGGGAATGTATCTTTGTCATTTAGCACAGAATGAAACAATCCATATGTGACCTGAAGAAGCAAAGAAAAGTATGTTATTTTGAGTTTTAGATTGTCAGGGATCAGAGAGCAGTACCAGCCCCTACCCAGGTTACCAAATGTGAAATGCTTCTCAGGAGTGAAGGATGGGTTGAACATTTTACAGTAATCATTTTCTCTATGCCTCCTACCCATATATGAGTGAGTAAATACCATGTTTGTCTTTCGTGCCTTGGTTACCTCAATCAGGATGGTTTCTTCTGGTTGTATCGATTTGTCTGTGAATTTCAAGATTTCATTTTTTTTTCTGCTGAGTAGTACTCAACTGTGTAAATGTACCACATTTTCTTTATCCATTCTTTGGTTGAGGGGAATCTAGGTTGCTTCCAGGTTCTGGGTATTGCAAATAATGCTGCTATGAACATAATTGAACAGCTGCCCTTGTATGAATATGCATCCTTTGAGTATATGCCTAAGAGTGTGATTGCTAGGTCTTTAGGTTGACTGATTCCCATTTTCCTGAGAAAACACCATACTGATTTCCAAAGTAACTGTACAAGTTTACACTCCTAAAAGCAATGGAGGCTGTTCTCCTTCCCCACATCCTCACCAGCATAAACTATCACTGATATTATTGATTTTATCCATTTGGATGGGTATAAGATTGTATCTCAGAGCTGTTTTGATTTACTTTTCCCTGATGGCTAATGATGTTGAACTCTTTCTTATGTGTCTTTCAGCCATTTTAGATTCCTTATTGAGAATTCTCTGTTTAGTTCTGTACCCAACTTTTTAATTAGATTATTTGGTGTTTTGGTGACTAGCTTCCTGAGGTCTTTGTATATGGAAAGCAGCCCTCTGTCAGATGTGGGGTTGGTGAATATCTTTTCCCATTCTGTGGGCTACTGTTTTGTCTTGTTGAGTGACTGCTTTGCCTTACAGAACATTCTCAGTTTCAGAAGGTGCCATTTATTAATTGTCAATCTCAGTGTCTGTGCTACTGGCATTATGTTTGCAATCCACATCTCCAGAGAATCTTGGAAACAATGAGGACCTTAAGAGAGACATCTATGATCTCCCAGAGAAGGGGAAAGACACTAGAGCTCCTGAGAAACTGGAAGCATAGGTTGTAGGCAGGAGGGAGGTAGGAGAAAGTGCAGTGGAGGAGGGGGGAGAAGAGCATGAGTGATCAGGGATATTGAATCAAGGGATGAATAGAGAAGAGGAAGAGAAGAGACACCTTAGTAGAGGCAGCCATTTCAGGTTTAAAGAAAAATCTGGGTCTACAGAAAAGTCCAGAGAACCACAAAAATGAACCCAACTAAGAATCTAAGCAATAGTGGAGAGGCTACCTTAAAAGGCCTTCCCCTGTAATGAGATTTATGACTACCTTAATTGCCATCCTAGAGCTTTTATTCAGTAGCTGATGGAAGCAGAAGAAGAGATCCACAGCTAAGCACGGAGCTGAACTCCTGGAATCCAGTTGTAGAGAGGGAGGAGTGATGGAAAATGTGTCAAGACCATGCTGTGAAACCCACAGAAACAGCTGACCTGAGCAAGTGGGAGCACTGACAGCTGGGGAACCAGCAAAGGACCAAAACAGTCCCCCGCATGTGGGTGTCTGCTAGGAGGTCTGGGCCTCTGGTAGTGGAACCAGTATTTATCCCTAGTACACAAATGGATTTCTGGAGCCCATTCCCCATGGAAGAATACCCTCTCAGCCTGGATTCACAGGGGAGGGCCTAGACCCTGTAACAAATGACTAGATAGACTTTGATGATCTTTCACGGTAGGCCTCACCCTTCCTGGGGAGTGGATTGTGGGGTTGAATGGGGGTAGTGGTGGAGCATGGGAGGATGGGAAGGTGAGGGAACTGGGATTGGTATGTAAAATAAGACTGTTTCTAATTTAAATCAAATTTATAAAAAAATGGTGAATCCAACACACACACACACACACACACACACACACACACACAATTTCTATTGTAACATCATCCACATTCTGTTATAATGTTCTTTATTGTTCTTCCATGTGTTAAAAGTTTCCAGTTTATAGACTCTTCCTTTCGTCTCCACCGCCACAATCTATTCCGAGCCCTACTCCTGTCCAATGCCCCCATTACCACAGGATCTCTCTGGTCCTATGGCTGCAGTTAGTGGACACACCCAGACAGAGATAACCTCCCTGAGTCTGAAAACACCTCACTATTCCTTCCCCCTCCACTATCCTACCACTACTGAGTGAGGAGACTACCGGGAGGGGAAAGGCCTTCCATAGCTGCACACATTCAAGACATGGCCACCACTTACAACCAGGTGAAAAAGGGAGATAGAGAGACCCCACCTGAACCCAATGGACTAAGAGATGGGAAGAATGCAGAATAAGAACACTCAACAACAGAAAGACCAAAATGACACCACCAATATCTAGGAACTCTAACCAGCAAGTTCTGAAAAACACAACACAGAGGAAGAAGAAGAGACAAACCGAAAAATCTACTTTATGAAGATGTTTGAGACTCATAAAGAGGAAACAAGAAAATCTCTTAAAGAAATGGAAGGAAGAACAACCAAGAGAATCAGTAATTCTCTTAAATAATCTAAAGAAAAAGCAACCAAACAAGTGAAGGAAGCACTTGAAACTGTTCAAGGCATGAATGCTGAAATAGAAACAATAAAAAAACACACAATGAGGGGATGCTGGAAATAGAAAGGCTGGATAAATGATCAGAATCTAAGGATGTGAGTATAACCAATAGAAAACAAGAGATGGATTGGAGAATCTCAGTTGTCGATGACTCACTAGAGGATATACAGTAATCCACCAAAGAAAATCTCAACTCCAAAAAATTCCTAACAGAAAATATCCAGGAAATATGGAACACTGTAAAAAGGCTGAGCCTAAGAATAATAGGTATAGAAGAGGCTGAAGAAATACAGCTCAAAGGTACAGAAAACATATTCAACAGAATCATATTCAACAGAATCATAGTTCTTCTATGATTCCAAACTACAGAAGAATATGCCTATGAAAGTAGCAGAAGATTACAGAACACCAAATAGACTGGACCACAAAAGAAGTCCCATCTTCACATAATTATTAAAACCCCAAATCTTCAGAATAAAGATTAAATATTAAGAGCAGCAAAGGGAAAAGGTCAAGTAACATATAAAGGCAGACCTATCTGAATTACACCAGACTTCTCAATTGAAACTTTGAAAGCCAGAAGATGCTGGATAGATGTATTTCAAACACTAAGGGAACATGGATGCCAACACAGACTACTGTACCCAGCAAAGCTTTCAATCATTATAGATGGAAAAAACAAGGTATTCCATGACAAAATCAGATTTACACACTAAATATCCAAAAACCCAGCACTACCGAAAGTTCTGGAGGGAAAACTCCAACCCAACAAAATAACTGCCCTCACAAAAACATATGCAACAGATAATCCAACTTTACCAAACAAAAAATGAAATATTAGGTGAAATACACACACAATGACACCACCAACAATAAATCCAAAACAAACAAGAACCAACAATCAATGGACTCCAATATGCCTCAGTGTCAATGGTCTTCACCTGCCTATAAAAAGATACAGGCTAACAGAATGGATATGAAGACAGAATCCATCTGCTGTATACAAGAAACATACCTCAACTTCAGAGAAAGGCGTTAACTCAGAGTAAAGGGATGGGAAAAGATTTTCCAATCAAAGGGACCCAAGAAACAATCTTGTGTATCAATCCTAATATCTAACAAATTAGATTTCAAGCAAAAATCAATGAAAAGAGATGAAGAAGGGCATTTCATACTCATCACAGGAAAATTCCATCAAAGGGGTGGGTACCAGGCTGGTGAAACCCACAGAAAAAGCTGGCATGAACAAGGAGGAGCACATCGACCCCAGACTGCTGTCTGGGAGGCGAGAGCGGCACAGTTCCAGACCCTTGAACATGGATGTCTATGAGGAGGCCTCTACACTCTATGGGGTCGCTGGTAGTGGATCAGTATTTTTCCAGTTGTAAGGTGGAAATTTGATAACCCATCCCACATGAATAGATGCTATCTCAGCCTGAACACATGGGGGAGGGCCTAGGCCCAGCACAGGATGATGTGCTAGACTTTGGGGAAACCCCATTAGGGGCACTAACCTGCCTGGGGAGAGAAGGAGGGATGGGTGGGAGCAAGTGTGGAGTTGAGTGGAGGATTGAGGGGAAGAGGAGGGAGAGGGAGAAGGGATTGACATGTGAAGCAAGCTTGTTCCTAATTTGAACTAATAAAACATGTGGTTAAAAAAATAATGGAGTCTCAATCCTGAACATCTATGCCCCAAATACGAAGGCACCCATATTTGTAAAAGAAACATTACTAAAGCTCAAACTACACATAAAACCATATGCACTTATAGTAGGAGACTTCAACACCCTGCTTTCAACACTAGACATAAACACCAGACAGAAACTTAACAAAGAAACAAAGGATGTAATAGAAGTTTTGAATCAATTGGGTTAATAGACATCTATAGAACATTCCATCCCAACACAAAAGAATATACCTTCTTCTCAGTGCCACATGGAACCTTCTCTAAAATTGACCACATACTTGGCAACATAGAAAACCTCTACAGATACAAAAAAATGAGATAAGCCACTGTATCTCATCAGACCACCATAATTTAAGATTAGAATTCAACAGCAATACAAATTGCAGAAAACCTACAAAGTCATGGAAAT